TAAAAATTTAGAATGGAAGAAAGAAAATAGAAAATCATTTAATTTATTGAAACAGAAGTTTATGTCAAAAATAGGGAAGTTGGTAAGTTATTACCAGTATATATTGTTTTATTTAACGTTTTAAAAGACAATCCAGAGTATAATACATTTACAATTGATAGAGATAGAAAACCCTATACATACACATATAGAGAAGTAAAACCTTCTAAGGAGGATATTGTACCCGTTACATCAAATAAAAATAATGTTACGTTTTAGTAATATTGTTTATAAAACATAATTTGAAACACCTCTTTTTTAAAACTATAAACGGAAAATTTTATAAATAAATTATGGTCCACAAAAGATATTTTATTTTAAATATTTCAAAGCGCTGCATTAAATATAGTCTAGTTGAAAGGTATGATATATATCTTTTCTAATGTCTAAATTACATTCTTATGTTTATAACATTTTTTTAATCAAAAAGCATATTTTGTTAATTAAAATATTTTGAAACTGATTATAAATGTATTTTTTTCTTTGAAAGTCTTAAATATTTCAAAAACTTTACACTTAATCTTATATAAAATGATTTAATTATTTTATTGACTCTATTGAAAAAAATATTTTATATAAAATTTGATATTCTAAATAAAGCAATGTATATTTAATTTAAATTTAATTTTTAATAAAAAATAAAAAGAGTCTTCTCAGGTTTATACATATAACAAAAAATATAAATTTTTAAATATCAAAAAACTTGAATTATTTATAATATTTATTTTAATATTAAAATTATCTTCAAATTTTATCCCTAATATCTGATCATTTTTTCTAAAAATCTAAATCTTTGAGAAAATATCAAGATTACTTTATAAAATATAGATTTATAAGTGCTGATGACGATATAAACGAGCCTTTTTGTTTTATATATTATAAAAAAATGAGCAATAAATTTATGAAACCAAATAAAGAAAACATTATATTCAAATTAAACATCTTACAAAAAAGGATAAAAATATTGATTATTTTACGGAATTGAAAGAAATGTATTTACAATAAAATGATTTTAAAAAAATGAATTTGATTCGACAAAAACTGATTTAATCACAATTTCATATAAAATTATAAATTTAATAAGCAAAAATATCTATCCATATATATCAGTTGAAGATCTTATCAAACCTGTATTAGAAGTATTTACTAAAAATTTGAATGAAAAGGATTTACCAATCAACTCACCTAGTCTCAAAAATGATACCATTAAAAGACGTATTGATGATATGGTATTAGATATAAAAGACCAACTAATTTAAATTCTAAATCAAACAAATTTTTCAATACATGTTGATGAAAGTGTTATAATTGATAATAGAGCTTTATTGTTAGTTTATGTAAGGTATATTGATTTAATAGATAAATTAATGAAGAAATTTTATTTGGTAAATATTTAATTACTGATACAATTGGAGAATCTATTTTTCATACAATCATTACGTGGTTTGAAATAAATAATTTAAACATTAATAATATGACATCAATTACAACAGACAAAGAAGATCAATGACAGGATTATATAAGAGACTTACTACAAGACTGAAAAGCATAATACCTAGTATAATTCTTGTGTATTACATTTTAGATCGACTCAATTTGATTTCAAAAAATGTAAACACGAAAATATTTTTTGTATTAAATTTAGTAATAAAAATAATTAATGATATTAAACATAACAGTAAATCAGATAGACTTTTCAAACAATTTTGTATTGGTAGGAATAAAATTTTTATAAGACTTCTTTATAATACAGAAATAAGATGACTATCTACAGGAAACTGTTTAGAAAGATTTATTAATCTCTTTGATTTTATAGTTACGTTTTTAAGTAGTAACAATCAAGATGTAAATGCTTTATTAACAATAAATAATAAAAACATAATTTATTTACTTATATGGTTATTTAACAAATTAAATGAGATTTTATTAAAAATGTAAGGAAATTTTGTTACTATGATAGATTGTAAGTCTATTATAATGGGGTTTTATAAAAGAATTGAAATATTTATAAATGATTTTATAAATTGTAAAAATTATTATATGTGCAATTATTTTGAAAAATTTTCTTAAGTAAAGATTAAGTCAGTTCTTTTACAAAATGTTTGTAAAATTTAAGATTGAAATTCAAAGTAGACTCCAGGATTTAATAAACTTTAAAATTGAAGAATGGATGCTAAATCCTTTTACTTCAAACATTTATAGTAGTTCTGCCTAATTTCAAGAAAAATTAATTGATTTGATGGAAAATACTGAACATAAAAAATTTTATTATTCAAAATCAAAAACTGAATTTTAGAGTAATAAAATTATAAGAAATTCATATTTTATATTTTTAATGGAATTAAATCTTTAATAATATGTTTTTGACATCACTCTTGTTGAATCTGTTTTTAGTTATATAAACCCATTAGCAATTAATGATGGAAATATAATTGATATTGCCAAAAGAAAAGATTTGGGATTAAAACTTACTAAAATAAAACTTTAGATTGATAAATTAGTAAATAACTTGATAAAAAATAAATTCTATTTATTTTATTGTTTTGTGTCATATAATTTTTTTTAAATCACAGATTTTTCAACTTGAGAATCTCTTGTATAAATAATGTCCAGTGTTTAATAATTTCTTTATCATGTTTTCTGTATAGTAATATATTTATTTATATATCTGTTTCCCTTTTACATGATTTTTTCCATCAACCGCACACGTTTTTTAATTTCTCAGGCCAAAGAAATTATCTCTGACAACCTTTTTTTCATTGTTGATTCACCATATCACCATTTAAAAATTACTCAAATATTGTTCTAAAAAATATTTTAATTTAAATTTTGTTCTTAGAAACTTTTAACCTTAAATTTGACGAAAAACTTATATTATTAATTAAATTAGTTACAACAAACAAAACATTGCTAAATAGTAACATAAATACAAGCAAACCATTGAAAAATGAAACACAACTATACTTCATATATTATAATACAGCAGGATCAGTCTCTAGGGTAAGATTGGTACCTTCAAAAATTTTATAAATTTTTATCTAAAAACAATTGTTTTTTTACAAGAAATTAAACATAAAATCATTTTTAATTTGTCCATGACAAATAATGAGGTGAGAAACCTGAACATTTTAATTTTAAATTACACTTGATTATTTTAAAATGAATAAATCAATAATATTTTATTTTTACAAGATAATTTTCATCTAATATTTCTTTTTTATACAAAATGATTTTTTGTTAAATTTAAAGAAGTGTTTTGATGAAATTGTTAATTTAAGAACAAAAGATATTTTATAATTTAACTTAAAAACAATCTTCTTTATACAATGTAAAAATTAAAATTTTATCATTTAAATAATTTAATTTATTGGTCTTTCTTTAAAATTCAAATTTTCGACCGGTTTTTATAATATTTATTAGTTTTTTAATTATAAATATTCGATTTTGTTAAAAATAACATTTATATATGTAACCATTACTCTATATATAATTAAAAAAACTAAAGCAATATTTTTTCAACTATTTGAATTGATTGTAATTTTTATTACCACTATACTTTAGTATTTTTTTAATTGTTTTGATCAAAATTACAATTTATTACTAAAAATTAATTTTCTCATAATGGTTTTTACTAACAAATAATTTTTAAAAGGTTAATAACAACACCATCTGTTGTTGTTTTTGATAAAAAATGACTCAGAAAATTTTAATTTATAATATACATCTTTATTTATTCTCTTTTGTATGGTAAAAGGTCTTACAATATTTAATGTTATAGTATTATAAAAAAT